AGCATTCTGTTACAACCATTGATTTAAAATAGAAATCAAACACGCTGCCTAACTTGTAAAAAAGAGCTTACTTAATGTGCTGCGTCAAACTTGATGTGACCCTATTAAAGACCACACTCTGCTCACCTCTGTCTCACTAACAGCTAGTGAATTATTAACCCTTTACTGCATGGCATTAACAAATGACAGTAATTAAGTTTTTTTGCCTAAATACAATATAGAGCATTTTTTTCTTTTCCTTGCGAAACTGGAGGCTTTCTCAGTTACATGTATACTATCTGATCACATGCCTTACTGTTGTATATTGTGTACATTGTGAGGTCAGGCCTCTGAAGCCCAGTGTGTGTTTAAAGGTTACTGGTTCATACACTTATATGTACAAAATATACACCATTTTAAGAGTTCTTCCTAGAACCTTTATGTAGAGGCTCTTTGAGCTTGTTAAAAGGTTTATTTCATTTACAAAAACAGTTCTCTAAAGAACCATTCATTAAAAGGTTCTTTAGGGAACTGAATGTGGTTATTCTATGGCATCATGCACCTTTATGTTAGTCTTAGCGTATGTGTGTTGACTGTTCTAGTACTCTGTCTGTAACTGTATGAGTGTCTATGTTCTGTACTGTAAACTCTCAGAAAAAAAGGTACACTCTTAAAAAAAGTTCTTCAAGGGTTATTTCAGAAAAGGAATGGTTCTATTCCTAACAATGAGTTCTATATAGAACTATTTCATGCCTAAATAGTTATCTACATGGCAAAATGTTCTGAATATTGATGGAGAATGTGTAAATGGTTCTTTGCATGGCAAAATGTTCTGTAGATTGATGGAGAATGTGTTGTATATGGTTCTACGTAGAACCTTTTTAAAAACAACTCTAAATAGCACCAATAAAGGTTTTGTTATTGTAATATGTCAAGCTTGTAATAATAGAACCATTTTTGGTGCTGTATAGAATCATATACTACACATTCTCTATCAATCTGAAGAACCTTTTTTTTTTACACTTGAAATGGTTTCATATAGACCTCATGGTTCTAGACAGAACCATTCCCTTTACTAAAGAATCAGTGAAGAACCATTTTTAACCCCATAAAAACCCAGACGTATTATTCAGTAACAGGGACTTCAATGCAAAGTGGTTGAGCTATTTTTAGGTTATGGAAGTGTGTAATAAAACTTTGGGCCTGCCAGTGGGCCCTGTCCAGGTAAGGGGTTAAGTGTGTACTATACAGGGTATGTCTTCATTACCTTAAGTTAGGGAACATAATTGTAATAAATACCATTGCAAATATATATATTTAAGTTGTATTGACTCCACACACCTTGTGTTGTCTCCAGCCTTTTTATTTTATCATCCATTTTATAACATAGGTTATGAAAAGGTACAAATACGTGTCTTTCCTTTGGGAAAAACTTATTTAAGGGACACAGTTGGACCTTAAAACCATTGTTGTACTGCTGAGGGTACATTTCTATTGATTGTATCTTAATGAGCAAAAAAGTACCTGCACAGTACCTTTCTTCTGACAGTATAACTGTGCTTGTGAGGGAGTGTGCGTCTAGACGGTTCTGGGTCGCGTCCTCTTTGAGACTGAGAGGATAACCTGCTGCTCACACATCTCAACCACCTCACACACCTCAAACACCTCACACACCTTAAACACCTCTCTCTCTCTCTCTCTCTCTCTCTCTCTCTTTCTCCCATTGAAGGCAATTCATAAGTTTCGTTTTAGCCTGGCTGACTCCTACACCATCCATCCACACACACACACCATTCCTCTCTGCTGACGCACTAACAAGGCACTGGTTCTTCACATGAAATCAGACTTTTTTTTAGTTGTGCCTTGTTCAGTTTGATTTCAAATGATTCTCTATAGCAGCCGCACTCAAAATAGTCTTGTGAACTGATGATGCTTTCAGCAAACCTGAACTAATGTGCTCTCTCTCCTTCATTCTCTTACTCGCTCCTTCATTGTCTCTCTCTCGGTCTCTATCTCCCTCTCGCTCTCTCTCTCCACCCACACACACTCCTGCAGTGGCTTTGACTCTGTCATATGTGGAGACTGACTCCCACCTACCCACTGAGTACTGACTATAAGAGGCTCTACCATATAATTTACCCTCCAAACCTCACACACTCTCTCTCACACACACGCTAGTTTCCATAGCAACTATTTAGCTGCTTCTCTGAAACCTTTCAGACAATAGAGTCAGGAGGAGGACGTCTGTTGGACAGACAGCAATTACCTGTCAATCATGTTTCCACTCAGAAATTGAACTTATAATATCATTCAGTGCTCAGAGAGACTCCTCCCCTTTCCTTTTTAAAACAACATGCATTTTTGTTTTTCCTTAGATGACATTTATGTTACCTAAAAATGCATATAATATATATAAACAGAATGGGACCAAGATCTGATCCCTGAGGCACCCCTTGGGTAAAAGAGGCAGTGGATGATTTGGCTGAGGGGTAACAAGTATATCATAAATGGAACGGGACCATGACTGTATCCCTGAGGCATCTCTTGGTCAACAGCACCACTGGATAATTTTAATAAGGGGTAACATGAATATTAAAAATAGAAGGGAACCAAGAACTGATTCCTGAGGCACCCCTTGGGTAACAGACGCAATGGATGATTTGGCTAAGGGGTAACATGCAAATAATAAACACAAGGGATGCAGAGTACACAAGAACTCCTCAGCAGGGTACAGCGTCACAGAGAGCGGTGCTGATACATGCACTGTATGGAGGAGAGTGTTACATAAAAAGCCTGGCCAGAGTTAGATACCCTCAGGAAGGAAGAGAGAGAAAGAGAGAGGGCGGGTAGGAGGGAGGACAGGCATTGATGCCTGTGTTTGGAGGCTAATACATTCTGACACAGAGACATAGAGAGAGGGTAACAATGATATAGAGAGAGAAACTTTCACTTCAAAAATACTTTTATTGGCACAACAACTTCAGTGTTCCTTAAAAAATGGGCAACAGGGAGAGTGAATGAACTGTCTAAAGGGTTACATGTATAAATAAAAGGGGACCAAGAATTGATCTTTGAGGCACTCCTTTTGTACTCCTGCATAAATTCTACTTGTTTATTTTGCTTTTTAATAAAACTAATGTAATGCTATAAAGAAACAACATAACTAATAAATTATTATTTTATACCAAGTTGCACTAAAATTTTAAAATGGGTGTTCTGAGCATGAGCAGTGCAGGCAAAAAGAAGAAACAGTGTCTTTTTAACTATCATCTTGAAAATGAAAATGTTTTGATCAACTCTTGTCAGTGAAAGGGGCGATTAAGATTTTTAAGCCACTGAGAACCATACTGGAGCTTATGCTAAACTGTGCCACATAGACTTTATCACAGGGTACAGTCTAAATTATTTTCTTACAGTTCTGGATAGCTAGCTAGCCTGCACATGCTCATTTATTCTGGGTAATAAATACAACTGAGAATATACAAGCTAGCAATCTGGAGCAGTAGGAAGCCTTTTTGGACTGCACCTGGAGTTAAGAGAGATACTGCTGCCTCCAACTGAATCTTGCAAGCTGTGCCAAATCACAAGTGCAAAGGGTCCAGACTGCAGAACTGGAAACTGTGTGCTACTGGTGATAAGCTAGTATTTAGCTTGATAAACAAAGGTTTGTTACATAAACATGTTAAATGTGCCAGTAGTTTGAATGCTTTTTCCCTCTTAGAATATTTTAATTATCAAATTTAACAAACATTTCTTGCAACCCTAGTAAAATTCATATTATAAAGAGAAGTGGACCTAGAACTGATCCTAGAGGCACCCTGTGAGTAACAGAGGTAGTGAATGACTAGACAAAAGTGTAACATGTACAGTACTATGCAAAAGTAAAAACACCCTTCATTTATTTAACATCCAGTCCAAGTGGCCATTAAGTACAAGTTATTCCTTATTTTAGGAAATATTTCTGAAAAGATTAGACACAAGACACTCATAAGGAAGTGGAAAGTCACAGGAAAATATTTGCCTCCTAACAGCCGTGCAGGACATGGTAGACCACAAAAGCTGACACCATCAGATAAACAGTACTTAAAACTTTAATCTTCGAGAGAGAGGAGAAAATCAAGCTCCACTATTACTATAAAAAATCACAGTTGTTTCTGTCTATCCTTTAACTGTAAGAAGACGACTCAACACAGGATTTGACGGGTGGATTGAGAGAAGCAGAAAATGCAACCAACTTAAAAGACTGAACTTTGAAGGTATGGAAAAATATCCTTGCAGATTTCTTTGAAAAACAAAAGCAAGTCTCCTGAAAAGAATGGAAGTTATTATGAGGGCAATTGTGGACACACTAAACACTGAACAATGTGACATTATATTTAGCTGTTGAGGCTTCTGTATAATTTTGTGTTATATTGTTTTGCCTCCTATTCCTGACACTCAAAAGGAATAACTTGTACATCATTTTTGACTGGAAAATAAACAAAGTGTAGTCTCTGACTTCTGCACAGTACTGTATACTTTAAATAAAATAGACCATGAAATGTTCTCTAAGGCACCCACTGAGTAACGATGGCAATGAATGATTTGGCTACAAGGATAAAACATGTATATTATAAGTAGAAAGGGGCCAAGAATTGATCCCTGAGGCACTCCCAGGGCAACACAGGCTATGGATAAACTGTATGTACCTATTTAAATAAACTGTTCTCTATTATTTAAAGCACACTAGAGCTACTGCATTACCAGTAGAGAAAAGACAAGAAAGTAGTAACAAGAAGTATGTCATGTTTTACAGTATTTAAGCGTGTACTGTGCGGGTGAGAGTGTATGTGTATACTGTAACTCAGCACAGAAGTCGCAGAAGAGTCCAAGCTCACTTCACCAGGCAGAAATCAGAATGACAAGCGCCTCTCTCTCTCTCTCTCTCTCTCTCTCTCTCTCTCTCATTCTCTCTCTCTTCCTTTATCTCTCTGTCTCTCTTTCTCCCCAATGCGCTTCAGTAGGAGTGCAGAGCGCGTGGAGATTAGCGTGGTACAGGAGTGCAGAGACAGAGAGAAACACGCACACACACACACGGGCACTGAGCACTGAGTTAAGAGATGCAGACGAGCGTGTGATGTTTTCGAGAGGAAAACTGCATGAGGGAAGTGTGCGCTGAAACACCTGAACTGGATACCTGCAAGCCAAACCTCGCCACTTTACACAACAACAGGTAAGCTTGAGTTTGTCTGTTGGTTTTCATCATACTGCCGTGATGCCTGTTTGTTTTTTCCCACCAAGTTTGGCTGAGTGAATCAGAGCTCAGTTAGTTTTAGGATAAAGTCTGGAAATAACCAGTAAATGAGCATTATTCCTACAAACAAGCATAAGAAAATCTGGCTATGACTTAATAATTGTAGAAGAAGTTTAATAGAGTCGAATAAATGTGCCACAACTTATTCTTTGAGTGATACCATAGAGGAACCACTTTTGTTTCCCTTAAGAACTATGCTTGAAAAGAGATTTTTGAGTGTAAAAACCTAATAAATGCTTAAAGAACCTCCACATAATATAACTGTCCTATATCAATTGAAACGTTCTTCCAAGCACCTTTACATCATATGAAGGTTCTCTGAATTTTAAAAAGGTTTTTCACACTCATATATCTCCTCTACAAGAATGGCTCTCTAAAGAACCATCCAGTGAAAGTTTCTGTAGGGAAACAAAAGTGGTTCTTCTATGGCACTGCACAAAGAACCCTTTCCGACACCTTTGTTTTTTTAAGAGTATCTCAAAATATCGAGGTAGGGAAGTAAAATGGGTCGCTTATGTTGCACATTCAAGAAGTTCATGATTTTCAGATTGTGAGAAGAATATGAGGCTAAAATAGAGAATGTCAGCATTTAACTCTGAATTTATTAGATTAATTCATGTTGGATCAGTAATTAATCCCTCAGTTAAGGTTGAGAATTAGTGCTAAAGGTACAGAAAATGTGTTTTAACTTGCCATGCATTTTAGTAAGCCTTAGGACAAAATAAGCCTGTGATTTTTAGGGGTTGAAGCCAGTATTTATTTCTGAGTAATACTTTTATATAGGTTACACCAATCAATAGTTAATCTCTTATAAATCTTGCATTTTCAGCTGTACAGTAAAGGTCTGCAAAGTTCATATTTGGTCTTGAACCTCCTACATGCAAAAACATCAGCCATCAGCTTCTTTAGTCTTCATATGTTTATTATGGAAAAGTTGATTGTGGTTCATATTCAGAAATTCCAGCCTCTTTAGAGCTTAACTGGGAACTGACATCTGGTTGGATTTTTATTTAGCACGTACCAGTGTGAGTGCACGGCCTGTTTAGCGCATACACATACACACAGCACCACTAATCACAAACAAACAGAGGAATAGAATGCATTGCAGGCTGATGTAACACAGAGGGGGTAAAGATACTGTAAGGAAAGAAGCAGAGTCATTAACACACGCACACATATATACATATACAGCTCATTTCAGTGTCAATAGGAGTACAAATACTATTGAACAACATCAGTAACATCAGTAGTTATTACACCACTGACAAAATGTCTAAAATTTAAGCTTTTCTGACATACAGGCCACTGCCACTTTAGTGACTTGAAAGTCACACTGTATGTAGAGAATCACAAATATTGCATTCATGTTGTTATTTGATTTAAATTTTAAAAATCATTTAATGTTTCATGAGTCACACCACTGACACGGTCTTTTCACATCTTAAAGTATAAAAAGAGAGTGCACTGAGTCACACTGTTGACCTCTCTTTCTTTCTTTAGATATCCATGCAAAAACTAATTTAAAAACCCTTTTTTAATGATGTTTTATGTTTATGTAACACCAACGACAAAAAAATCCTGGGACAAAATAAATATAATCAAAATAAAAAATATATGTATACATTTAAAATAATTTTAATATAGACAACCATTATAATGCAATTTTACAACAAGCATCAAAATTGTTGTTTCACATAAAATATTATACATCTGTGAAGTCATTAGCATCACATGCTGTTCTAAATATGACTAAAAATCGGCCTTCTGTGGTTTATTTTTATCCTGAGCTCATTTCATTGCTTTAAAGTACACTCTGAAAAAGGGTACTAAACTGTCGCTGGGGTCTTACTATCAAGGGTACAACTTAAGTGCCCTTAGTAAGGGAACAGAATTGTATCATATTGCATTGCAGTAATATTTTTAAGTTGCACTGACTCTAGTGTACCTTTCAAGCTTATTTTAATTGCACAACAGAAACTTAAAACCATTTTATACTTTTGAGGGCACATTTACATTGTTTGTACCTTGATGAACAAAAATGTACCTGCACAACCCTTTTACTGACAGAATGACCCAAACACAAAACTGACCTTGCACAGACACAGTCACGCTCTCACAGACTAACACGCACACACTCTTACCCGCTCTCACCTCTGAAAGTGCTGCAGACTGAAGTAGAGTGTGTGAGTGACATGTGGATGAAGAGATGGGGGAGTTGTAATGGTGGAAAAACACAAGACAGAAAGTTGATGTCATAATAAAATCTCCTTCACACACACACACACACACACACTGATTGCGATGTTATTCTCCTGCATCTTTACCAGATTTACATACACCTGAGAAATATGCACGCTTAGAAAGATACACAAAGCACTACAGGACCACCTGTAGGAACAATGTTATATTTACAGAGTTTCAGCTCATTCTCGTACTTGAATCTTATAAAACTTTTACACAGGAGTGAACTGAGAGAGAGAGAGAGAGAGAGAGAGAGAGAGATAGAGAGGTTGTCAGTCCTAATTAACTTACACTGTGCCCAGTGTGCTTTTACAGATGAAGTGGTCAATCCACAGTTCTAGTACAGGTCACATCAGTCTAATGGAGTGGAAGTAAACATGTAAATGTGAAATGCTGTGTTTAATAATGGATTTACATGAACCACTGCAGCTATTGTGTAACTATTCAATGTCTACAATGAAATGATCCCCCTATTAATAATTCAGTAACTACCATTAATTATTCAGAAACTACTATGAATCATCAAAAAAACAACTATTAACAATCATCTACTATTAATTATTCAGTAATTATTTAGGAATTGATTCACTATGCACTATGGATTATTCAGTAACTATTATGAGTTATTCAGTAACTTATCTAAATTATTCAGTAAATACTATTAATGATTCAGTAACTCCTATGAATTATTGACTAGCTACTATGAAGTATTGAGTAACTACTAGAAATTATTTAATAACTCAATCCATGCTCACTGTGAATTATTCAGTTCTTACTATGAATTCTTTAGTGAGTACCATACTCAATAACTACTCTACATTATTCAGTATCTACTATTAAAATAATATGTAAGTTATGCTGTTATGAGAAGAACTTAAGTGTGGACGCACATATTGACCTTTATATTTTTATAGTTAATAATGCAATGTTCACCTTTCTGGTTTGGCAGTAATTAGGTGTGCATTTGTGTATTTGTTTTGGGTCAGGGTAGAGTGTGCTAAACAGTTGTCCTGAAGCACTGTGACACTTTATTTCTCTCATCTATCACACTGTGCCTGACGTTCTCTGTGTGTCTAAGTACACTGTCTGAGAAAGTTTAGGAGCACCTTGTCTTCCCAATTTTCTAAATAATATTAAGAAAGTAAGATAAAAATACCTGTAAGCTTTGTTAGGATAAAACTGCTATTTGCCTATATTTTGAGTGCATATAACACTGAGCTTGTTTATCATTGTCTTCCTTTTGCCTAAATAATGACTAAACAGTATGATATGTGTTTTAACTATTGGTAAGAGCATATGCTGAAACTCTTTTGGCTCAATGGTGGTTTGAAGAGATGAAAGGATTATGTGCCAATGAGTGCTTACATCACAACAAGGGGATATAATGAATTGGGGGGTTGGAACTATTGTCACTTCAGTAAAACTTCATTATGAAATTATGTAATAAATTATATAGTTAATTATTGCAATATAGTGGTGTCAAAGGTAAATTATTATTGCTGTCAATTCTTACACACTTAAATAAAACAGGTCTTCAAGGGTTCTTTAGTAAAGGCAATGGTTCTATTTAGAACCATGAGTTCATATATAGAATGATTTCATTCTTAAAACAAACACACACACGCACATCTAACTACTGCCAAACCAGAAATGAGTATAATGCACTGCCAAATCCCATAAATCTAAGGGTCTATTTGTGGGTCCACACTTCAGTTCTTCTTGTAACAGCATAACATACATATTATTTTCATAGTAGATACTGAATAATTTATAGCAGTTAATAACTCATAATAGTTACTAATTAATTCATTAAAAATAGTGAGTAATTTAGAGTAGTTGATAGTACAATTAATAGTAGTAACTGAATAATTCACATGGAGAAAGTGTTGTATATCGTTCTCTATAGGACCTTTTTGAAAAAGGCATCTTTACATCGTAGGAATAGAATGCTCTTTGGTGCTGTATAGAAACATTATTAAAAAGGTTCCTTATAGAACCATATACAGTGCATTGGCCATCAATCTTAAGAATTTCACTGTGCAAAGACCCACTTTAGCCTGAAATGGTTCCATATAGAACTCATGGTTCTAAATAGAACCATTACCTTTACTAAAAACCCTTGTAGAACCATCTTTTTAAAATGTGTACTGTGACCCTTCAAACTATCTGCAGTTCCACCCTGAGGCCCACCTGCTTGCGTGCTGTTGCTATGATTCTGTGACTGTAGCCCTCTAGTTCCAGTACAGCTTTTAAATGGCAAATGTTTCACTAATGCCACTCTCTATATAAACAAACATTATTTACAGCTACTTCCTTGGTGGATTTGTTTATCACTGAAGGGTGTCAAGTGTTAAGCAAGCAATGCTAGCAATAGCAGTAACATTAGCACTGGAGGACACCTACAGCAGACTACGGTGGACAGTGCTTGGTGGAGAACTGTGAATAAATCAATGAGCAGCAAACTAACAAAAGCAACAGCAAAGTGGAAAACTACACTTACCTTCAAAAACAAGATATAATGTAGTAGTCTGAGACCTACAATGAGAGCTACAATCACGGAGTTCAGAACATGTAGCTACTGTTGCTCTCACTGGAGATTGGGGATGAAAATTGGAAAGTGCTTTCACCATATGGAAATCATGTGATTAGGCTCATGTAGATAATGTTACGATATTGTT